AGTTACCTGTGTCTAGTGGCTGCTGTATTGGAATTGGATAGCACAGGTTTAGATCAAAAAGAAAGGGGAGTGAACATGTTGCCCTATATCCAGATTGTCTCTTAAGCTATGTTATATATAGTGTTTAACCTTCCTAAAACATTTACTAGCTCAAAAGACCTGAAGAGGCTACCTTCTGTGTGGTAAACAAGCTAATTTGTTCATTCATTCAACCGTCTACTCAACAAACATTTACGAAATGCCAGACCCTATTCTGAGAGTTGGAGACATCCACAAGGAAAAGATCCAGTCCGTTTCCTCAGGGAGCTCACAGGCTAACTGGCATGATAGACACATTAGTAAATGTGTTCATTATAATGTGAGAAATGAGTATAGATAAGATACTGTCAGCAAACAGAAGATGTGAGGAATAAGGGACAAGTAGGATTAGTGGGAGTCAAAGGAGGACACCATATATCAGAGTTCTTGGTTGCAAGCAACAGAAACTGACACTGGCTAACGTAGGAGGAAAGGATTTTCTGGCTGTGAGGAGACATCGAGGAGCTTTTGAGCAGAGCTGTGGCATGGGCATTTTTGGGTTTTAGGAAGACTGCTTTGGCACAGTAGATTGGTTAATAGGTTGGGAGGGAAGATGCTAAAGGCAGGGAAACAGCTGGGAGACTATTAATTGTCTGAATGAGAGACAATAAGGGGCTGAACAAAGACACTGGCAGTGGGAATGGAAAGGGTAGTTTTAAGAGTTCAAACTCATTCTGAAATTTAGAGCTGTCACTGTTCTAACCCCTCCTTTTCCAGCGCATTCAATACCATTCCCACCCTCTTCAGATAAACAGGATACAACTCATTGTCAAGTAGACATGCCATTCCTACTCCCTCTCCCTAAAATGCCTTTGCCTCTCCACTCTTTTGCTCAGAGCCTCCCTTTCAATTTAAGGTGTAACTCATGACCACTTAACTGCCCCCAGCAGTCTTTTAAGGCCCTTACTCTCTGCTGTTATTGTTTTCTGGGATAACCTGTCACAATAGATTAGAGAGCCTATTGTGTTATTGTTTTATGTTGCTGTCCTACCTCCCTGCAAATCTATTGTAAATTACTTATGGCCAGTGATGCTGTCTTATTCTTCCTTGTACCCTCAGGCCTTAGAATGGGTCCAGCACAGTGAACCCAGTACATATTCCTGGTGATGCTGGCTCCTCACTTTGTGGGACACACTCAGGTCCTATTGTGGCCAATAGCTTCGATCACCAGGCTCTTGCTCAGTACAGTCTGAGGAATATTAATCTCCCTTAGGCACACTTCTTGAGTCACTCTCTACTCTTAGACCTTTAACAGCTTCCCATTTCCTACTGAATTCTTCTCCTCAGCTGTTAAGGCCATCAATCCATTCTCCCCACATTTCCTCAGTAGACACCTTAGCTCTCATCAAACTGACCTCTTCACTGGCCCAGAAACAAGCCCCACAAAGGTCTGCTTCTTAATCTTCACTTAGCTGATCCTCTATCCCAAGGATGTCCTTACTCTTCCATTCTGGCAGTCCAGACCCAAGAATGTCCTTCAGATCCAACAAACTTGCCTGGCCCCTAATGGTTCCAGTGCTTGCAGATCTCTCCATGGCTAAAGATTTCCAGTGTGTCCTCTAGCAGGCAGTTATTCCCACATTTCTTGTTTGCTATTCTGTGTATCTTCATCTCCCTGGCTGGATTGCAAGCTGCAGGTCACTATCTCCAAGGGTGCCTGGTACATTTCCAGACACATAGGGCTCATGAATGCATATTAGAGGATCAACACAAGACAACTCTCTTTCTGTGGCTCCCATCTCATCAGCCAACTGCATTCTCTACCCTCAAATTTTAGTGTGTAAGGGACGCTGAGAAAGAAGCTTCTCTCTGAAATGGCAACTCAGAGACTTCAATGAAATTTTTAGTGTCTCTTGGTCAGTCATGCTGCTGATACTGAGTCACTACTCATTTGTGGCGATTCTAAGTCTCACTTTATGATTCATGTTCTAAAAGTGGGGTGAGGTTTTTACAGAGAAGCCAGTTCCACGGTGAACTTAGCCCCACAATTATTGGGTTCCTCTGTGGTTTCCAGCTGCTAGCACAGCATTCCTCAAGGTCTAGAGTCTCGTGGCTTTTTGGACGTGGCTGTTTCATGGCAAATATCTGGAATCCATTTCACAGGGTTATGATAGGGGTTTCCTATAATAAATTTGTTCTGCCAAACTTTCTTGGGATTACTCATTATCTGTAACCGGCCCATGTCTGGATCTGGATGGACAAGCTAAGGAAGGGTAGATAAATCTTTGGGGCTCTTCTTTTATACTTTCTGAGTAACAGTCTTCGCTCCTCAGCCAGAATGTACCTGTCTCTGTAAAGACGAGGCTGAGTGCTTGACTCCACTTAACATCTGGGAGAACTGCTCAACAAATGACTGAAAAAGGGAATTCACTAAAATCAGAAGGTATAAATAACAGAAATGGGGTGGTTTCATAAAATTTGCATGCTAGTCCCAAGATTTCCACTAACAAGCTGTGTGACTTCGGGCGAGTCATTTAACAACAGCCGTGATGGCTATTGTGACATTTATAAAGAGTTTGGAAGGGGCTCCGGCACCTAATAAGCCCTCTGTAAGGTCACCTGCTATTATCATCATCATTGTGACAGTTTATTCCTCCCAGTACTAAGCACTTGGGGTATATTATATCACTTAATCCTTAAAAGTAGGCAGTGAGTTTTGTTATTCTTGCTGTGCAGGGGTTAACTTAGGCTTAAAGACTATACAAGACTCTAATGTGGACAGTCCAACTCTGGGGCCCGTGCTTTCCATCTCTGTTGCTATGCCTGATTTCCTTGGGCCTCAGTTTTCTCATCTGTAAAACTTGAGAGCTGGACTAGTGGTCCTTAAAACCTTTGAGCTCTAAAATTTCTAGGTATTTTCCCCATTTGCCCTTTTCCTTCCCTTCCTCCCCTGTCTCTTCCCTCACCCACACTCATCCATGAATTTCGCTGGATTCATCATCACGGGATCAGCAGGATGTTTTCCCCATTGAGCTGTGACACTGCGTGTGTCAGCACATGGACTTGTATTCTGGCTTTTTTGCTATTGTTGTTGGACCTGGTTTATATGCTGCTGTTGTTGAAAGAGGAGAATCCAACTCTTCAATTTTACTGTCTTCTCTTGGCCTGCAGCCATTACCACAATGAGCGACATTAACACTTGATGAGGCTTGAGAAAGGCTTTATGGGAGAAGCCTGCGGGCATCAGCTCTTTGGGTCTGTGGGCTCTATGTGGTTCTCTGGTGCGATCTGGTTTCTGGGCATTGCACTCTGCAGGCTGTTTGCACACGTCTGGTCCCATTGTTGGTGAGAATCTTAGGAGAGAGACTTGGAAGAGAGATTTCTAGGCGTTGCATTCTCTGTACAGCTTGGATGCCCTGGAGATTTCCACATGGGGAATTTCACAGATGATTTCATTATGGTTCCATTGTAATTGATGTTTGTGTAGTACATAGTTGGGTGATAGTCTGTATATATTCTCTAGTACTTTTTGTGGCTGTGACCCAAAGTTTAGAGTGTGTTGGCATCGGAAGACCTAGGTTCAAGGGTTATATCTATCACTTCCTAGCTTGGTGCATCTAACACACGTGCTTACTGTGGCCTCTACTTGATCATTCTTTGGGTGGGATCTTATTTTGGAAGAAAAAGAGTCCATTTGTCACTGTCCTGGGATGTGTCAATTCTTCCACTTAGAAGCCTGGAGGAAACATCTTAGGAACCTTAGGGCACCAAACAAGGGCCTGGAAATAAAAAAGTGTTGGATAAGTCACTTAACTTCTCTCAGCCCAGATTTCTTCATCTGTAAAAGAATTATATAAAATCTGTCTTATCCAACTAAAATGGCTATTGAATCAAATGAAGTATGATATGAAAATATGTTTCTGAAGATTATAAATTATATACAAACTGTTGTTTTTAGGAAGTATTGTACAGCAAAACTGATTGTTTTAATTACGAAAAAAGCAAAAGCAATTAAATGTTTCTATTCTGATTTTCCCCAGCAAAGATTATTTACTGCAGATAATAACCTGTAGCAAAATTTCCTCAACATTTTCCTTTTCTTGTGCACCAGTTAGCAGGCTATGAATTAAATTGTTCTAGACTAAAGTGAATATTGTGAGTATTCAGTGAATAAGAACTGGTATTGTGTGAGGTGGATAGTAGCTCTTTTGTGGAAACACATTAATTTTGCATTAATTCAGATTTTATTAATTCAGTATACGATCAACAGCTAGATTCAAGTTATAAATAGTACAAATAAGATTATAAGTCTATGAAGTATCCTTCTGTATACCTGGAACATAATTGCAATGGGAGTAAAGGCTAGACTTTTATTTACTAATTCAAATTGGCCTACATTGAAAATATCTTTCTTTAACTCACATTTTTCACTAAAGCAAATATTCCCAACCCCCTTACTCCAAATGAACAAGATGACTCCATTTCTACTTTTCCTGATTGGTAAACCATGCTTGGAGATACCATCTGGAGATAGTTGGGTTTCTGCCAAAGATTTAAATCAGGCTTGCAAAGAGCTACCTGCCTAAGGCAAGAAACTGCACTGATTTAATAGGAAAGAACATGCTTTTCTTTCACCATCTGGGAAAAGAAAGTGAAAGTACTTTGCAAAGTTTTAATATTTGCTTTACATTGACGGCATTATATTATAGATAAAAGTATTTCCAAAATACTTGAGGTAATTTGGGAATCTAATTGCTAAAATTTGTGTGATTATTTACACACACAAGGCATATGCAGAAACCTTGATGCTCAAGGCGGATATTTCCATACGAGAAGTGAGGGCAAGACAAGGACAGAAAGAAGTAAGGCCAGTTGGAAACCACTCAGACCTCCTCGTGGGCGGTGTTGAGAGCCCTAGACCTGTGTGGATTGGGTATAATACAATGGTTATCCTTTTTAATTTTCACTATTTTTTTAAACAGATTTCTGCTTGGCTGATTAACCAAAGGCGGGAAGGGCTGATCTGTCAACATTCTGAGAGCTGCCCTCTGCAAGACCCCCATAACAGACCCCAGGCCCAAGTCTACCGTACTACTGTACGCTCACCCCACCCCAGGCATTACTCTGGGGTCTGCCTGAGGCCAGCAAGTGTGAAGATGACCAGCGCCTTCTTAGCATGACGACCTTGGACCATGTGATCGCTACCCACCAGTCAGAGTGGGTCTCCTTCAATGAGGAGCCACTCTTTCCTGTCTCTTCTGAGGGTAAGGAGTGCTTTCATTTCCTAAGTGAAGAGATTGGCAGAGAACCACGCCTGCTTGTTATGGCTTCTGCTTGATCATTCTTTGGGTGGGTTCTTAATATGTAAAAGAGAGCCAGTTTCTCACTTTCCTGAAGTGCAGATTCTTCTGCTTAGAAACCTGGACGAAGCATCTTAGGAACCTTAGGGTCCCAAACAAGGACCTGGAAACGCCAAAAGTATTGGCTGCTTTCTTCCAAGGAGCATAGACTTGGTACTTACCAAGTACTTTACACTCAGCCTTTGTAGTTGTTACTCCGACAGCAGTTTCGATTTTCTCCACTTTTAAAGCGTAGTTGTGCAGAGTAAGCAGGCTCTAGAGCTGGATTTCACGGGCTCAGATCCTGGCTCCAGCACAGATGAGTGATGTGCCCTTGGGTAGATGATTTATTTAACTTCTCCGTGCAGTAGTTTATCTGTGCGATAGGGGTAATCGCAGAACCTACCTAACAGTGGTTGTGAGGATTAAATGAATAACAGATGTAAAGTGCTTACAACAGTGACTGGCACATGGAAGGAGCTCAGTAATTGTCATCCGTGATCATGATGAAGATGGCCAAATTGACTTCTAAGGAACTGGTGCTCAGGGATGAAGGTCGAGGTAGGACATGGGAGACAGTTGCTGAGCCATGTCAGCTGGTTCTGTTCTACTGCATCTGCCTCTGCCAGCGGAAGTCAGCCCAGCTTCATTTACAGCACCTGGAAAGTGTGAGTTGACAGGTGTGCTGTCCAATATGGCAGCCATGTGGCTATTGAGTCCTTGAAATGTGGCTAGTCAGAATTGAGATGAGCTTTAAGTGCAAAATACCACACTGAATTTCAAAGACCTAGTAAAAGTTAAATATTTCATTAACAATTTTTATATTAATTACATGTTGGAATTGTAAGTTTTCAACATACTGAGTTGAAATATGTATTGTTAAAAGTAGTTTCACCTCTTTTTATTTTTTTAATGTGACTATTAGAAAAATTACATATGTGACTTCCCTTTTAGTTCTTTTATTTAATTATTTTTTTGAGGAAGATTAGCCCTGAGCTAACATCTGCTGCCAGTCCTCCTCTTTTTGCTGAGGTAGACTGGCCCTGAGCTAACATCCGTGCCCATCTTCCTCTACTTTATATGTGGGACACCTGCCACAGCATGGTTTGTCAAGCAGTGCCATGTCCGCACCCAGGATCCGAACCAGTGAACCCTGGGCCACCGAAGTGGAACGTGCGCACTTAACCACTGAGCCATCGGGCCGGCCCCCCCTTTCATTTCTTTTTGCACAGTGCTAGTCCACAGGCTTTATCACCTGCAGGTAGACCAGTTAGTTTGGCTAGTGATGGGAGAAAGGAGTTTCATATTAGTACTTTGATTTTTTTAAAGTTTTCAAACAGTAAAATTGACAATTTCTGGTGTGCGGTTGATGAATTTTAACACATGTATAGATCTGTGTAACTGCCGCCACCATCAGGATATAGTTCTTTTTTATAAAAAAGTTTCTTGAAGGCTGTTAAATGTTCCAGGACCAATAAAATGATGCAAAGCTAGCGAAAGAGTGTGCCACGTTCAGCTGGTCGTTAGTGCAGGGTTTGCACGGCAGCCTGCAGATGTGGGTAGTTTGGACTGCACAGAGTTTGAAGTTTGAATTTGAATGTCTTTAGTCTAGACAGAAACTCTCCTGTTCAGCCCCAGTCTCTACCAGTCCCTATTGCCTTTTCCTTGTCCCATTCAACTCAGTTATATTTGTTTCTTGGCTTCTGAAGGCATTTTAGTTTGTGAGCCCCGAGCACTGGCGTAGATGCTGGGATAAGAATAGTGAATAAGACTCCCAGTCTCAGCCTGCCTGGATACTGACTGTGGACATGCTGAGGTTATAGTGTCTACATATTTTTAGGAAAACACCCGTTTAGTGTAGAGACAGATGGTGATGGCTGTTTCTTTGCCCTCACCTACTGTCTTGGTGAGTCATGTTTCCCGCCTTGCCCATCTTTCATTTTTGCCTCCATGAGACAGTTGAGAAGAGTGGCCTTCCTTGCGTGATGTAATGGTGGTGTCTGGTATCTGTTTCAGGGGCCACTGAAGAGCACCTTCCAGGACTGTCTTCCTCAGATCAGTCCGAGAGCTCCTCTGGGGAGAACCACGTGGTGGATGGAGGCTCTCAGGACTCCTCTGAGAAGATGGGCCTCATCTCTGAAGCAGCCTCCCCTCCTGGGAGTCCTGAGCAGCCCGCGCCAGACCTGGCCTCCGCCATCAGCAACTGGGTTCAATTTGAAGATGACACACCCTGGGCCAGCACGTCACCACCTCATAAAGAAACAGGTGGGACAGGTGGGAGGTTGAGAAGGGTTTGGCTAAGTCTCTGCTCACCAGGGGTGCTTTTCCATGGGAGGTCTGCAGGGCTGCCAGCATTCATCTGACCTGCTCCAGAGCCCTGCTTGGAGCATTAGCTGTGCAGGAGAAAGCAGGCGGAGAGCTCATCTGGATTAATTCTACAACTAGTTTTTGTTAACATAAGCATATGGAAGGATTTATGTGTTCTGGACCATTTCTAGCTCTTGTCCCTGGCTGTTTACCTGTCTTTAAAAGTATGCATATTAATCTCTCTATTACGGATTGGAATTATATTTACTCAGCACCTAAATTGTAAGCTCCTTACAAGTGGAAAAGAATCTCTCTCAAAGTGTAGACCACCAAGCATCTCTAATAGAGTCACTGGTTAAACATGGATATTCCTGTGTCCCAGACCTCTTGAATCCACATCTGCAGGGGTGGGACTGTCATTAATGGTGAGTCTCTTACTTGTAGCAGCTAAATGGTCAAAAGCTGCCCTGGGGATCTTAGGGAAGCCAGAGGAGTTGTTAGTCCCCACCCTGGTGACCTGGCTACTTATGTTATTGTGCACTGAAGCATACTTAGGGTGACTGGATAAGCTTTGGGACTGTATTAGTTTTCTAATTAGTTTTTGTTGCTGTGACAAATTACCACAGACTTAGTGGCTTAAAGAACACAACTTTGTTATCTTATAATTCTGTAGTTCAGAAGTCCGACATGGCTGTCACTGGGCTAAAATCAAGGTGTTGCCAGGGCTGCATTCCTTTCAGGACTCTCTAGAGGAGAATCTGTTTCCTTGCCCTTTCCAGCTCCTAGAGGCCACCCACATTCCTTGGCATGTGGCCCCTTCCTCTGCCTCCAAAGCCAGCAATGTTGCATCTATCTGTGCCTTTCTTCTATAATCACATCTTCCTCTGACTGACTTCTTCTGCCCCTGTCTTCCATTTTTGTTTTGTTTTGATTTTTTGCTGAGGAAGATTAGCCCTGGGCTGACATCTGTGCCAGTCTTCCTCTATTTTGTATGTGGGTCAGCGCAACAGCATGGCCACTGACAAGTGGTATAGGTCCACAGCTGGGAACCAAACCCAGGCCGCTGATGCAGAGTGCACCAAACTTAATCACTAGGCCATGGGCCAGCCCTCCCTCTTCCATTTTTAAGGAACCTTGTGATTACATTGGGCCCACAAGGATAATCCAGAATAGTTTCCCTGTCTCAAGGTCCTTGACTTAATCACATCTGCAAAGTCTCTTTTGCCACAGAAGGTGACATATTCACAGGTTCTGGGGATTAGAACATGGACATCTTTGCAGGGGCATTATTTTTTCTACCACAGACACCTACTAGCAAAAAGCAAGGTTGATATGTTTTTCTGTTGGTGGGTTAAATGTTTTGCTAGTTTTCTTTTTCTTTTTTTCTCCCAAGGAAGATTAGCCCTGAGCTAGCATCTGCCAATCTTCCTCTTTTTTTCTGAGGAAGACTGGCCCTGAGCTAACATCTGTGTCCATCTTCCCCTACTTTATATGTAGGACGCTTATCACAGCATGGCTTGATAAGCGGTGCGCACTTAACCGCTGTGCCACCAGGTCGGACCCAGCTAGTTTTCATTTTTAAAAGCAATTCCTTTGTTTTTCAAACGTTTTTAATCAATAGAAAGCTTTAACACCAGGCAGGGGCCCCAGGACCTTGGAACAGCGTAGGGAAGCTCTGTGGTACATTTGCCTTGCTTTTCCTGCTCCTGCTGTGGTTTCCTCCGCTCCCTCATTCCTAGGAGGCACGGGAGGAGGGTGTGGGTAGAGTGGTATTTCTCCGCTTAGTTGCCTAAAGGCCGTGCCTTCAGATTATTGATTATATGCATGGCATGCAGATTCTTTTTACATCTTTTTCATACCTTGAGCCTCAAAGAATTCCTGATTGCTCAGAACTATTTATATGACGGATGGGTCAATTTGCTTTAACTCTTCACTACTTATATTTGCAAAACTGACTTTGGGGTAGTCGTCATTATATGGCCCCCATCTGACTGAGGATCTTAGCTTGTTACTGATAATGGTTTTGGCCTTTAGTAGTTTTAACCTTAAGTGGTTAAAACCTTGTCATTTAAGGCAGCAGTTCTCAGAGTGTGGTCTGTAGATCTCTGGGGTTTTCTAGGACCTTCTCAAGGGATCCGTGGGGTCAAAATTATTTTCATAATAATTCTAAGATTTTTTTGCCTTTTTTACTGTATTGGCATTTGCACTGATGGTACAAAAGTAATGACAAGGAAAACTTCTGGCCACCGTGTACTCCTAGTAAAAAAAAGTCAATTAATAGCCTTGATGAAGTAGTAAAGATTATTAATTTTATTAAATCTTCATTCTTAACTACGTCTTTTTAATTATTCTCTGAGATGAATTGGGAAATAAGTATAAAGCACTTCGGCTCCATACCAAAGTGGAGTGGTTGTCTTAAAGAAAAATGGTAATCTTGAAAAAAATTGGGTTTAAAATTTTTTTTAATTACGAAAAATCAATTTAAAAATCAAAATTATTGAAGAATTCTTTTAAACAGTCAAAACAATGCAAAAAGTTCTTGAACGAAACATCGGTATTTTAAAGACAAGATCCACCAACACTTGCGTGACTGCCACACTTCCCTGGCCTTATCCTGGTCCTGGTTCCAGTAAGACTTTATTTATAAAAATAGGTGGCTAGCCTATGGGCCATAGTTTGCTGTTTTGTATTTTCTAAATGTTGCATTTAAAATGTTATTTTATTATGTTTTTTTAAGATTTTATCTTTTCCTTTTTCTCCCCAAAGCCCCCCAGTACATAGTTGTATATTTTTGGTTGTGGGTCCTTCTAGTTGTGGCATGTGGGACGCTGCCTCAGCATGGCCTGATGAGTGGTGCTATGTCTGTGTTCAGGATCTGAACCAGCAAAACCCTGGGCCGCCAAAGTGGAGTGCACAAACTTAACTGCTTGGCCACGGGGCTGGCCCCTAAAATATTTAATTACTGAGCTTTTTGGCACCCCCTTAAATTTTGCACCCAAGCTGAGTCCTCACTTGCCTCACCCTAGTTCCAGCCCTGCATTGTACTAAGGATATGGGATTGATTAATGTTCCTAGAGAACAAATCAAGAAATGACAACTTTCAAATGCATGAAAGCATAATTTTGGCTTGAAAACTCCTCAAACATTAATAATTCCATCCGTTTTTGCATATGGAAGTTTAACTCAGCCTTGTGGAGATGGAGCTCTCTGCCTCAGGAGGAGCCTGTGGGCTGGTTCCCAGTGGACGTGAGGTCCAATGTGCAGGCAAGAAGCAGGAGTAAATCATGTATAGGGCCAGCCCCACCTCAGGCAGTGTTTCTAACCCAGGGACCCAAGAACCATGGAGGACTGTGCAGAGCATCACGGGGGAAAGAAAATGGTAATAAATCCAAGGGCCCTGGCCTTCCTCTCTTGCCAGTACCCAATCTGACCCGTCAATGAACCCACTGAGTAAAGGGCTGCAGGGTACATTCCTGTTACCCGAACTACCTCGCCCACGTAGGCCAACTCCTTCATGAGCGTCCTTGCATGAAGTGTGTTTAGCAATAAGGAATAGTGGTTGTTAGACTTAAGCCCAAGTGATGAGCAGGAGAAACTAGACCTCAGCCCTCTCAACACAGAAAATGCAGACATCCCTCAAATCAGACAGTTTTTCCATTCTGGAAGCTGTTGGGCAGCTCAAATTTTAATTTGAATCCAAAAGGTTTAGCTACACCTGCTGTGTCAATAATATCATATACGTGACTGCAGCATTACAGCAACATAAGAAGATGTGTGCCGCAAGTATACACACAGTGATGGAGACAGGGTGAGGCTTCACCTGTAATCACTGCTGCCTGCTCTATTCTTTTGGTAATACTAGGTTTTCCTAGTGTGGTAGGCCGAATAATGGCCCCCAAAGGCATCAGGTCCTAGTCCCTGGAGCCTGTAAATATCTTATTTGGAGAAAGGGTCTTTGCAGACGTGATTAAGTTAAGGATTTTGAGATAGGAGATAATCCTGGATTATCTGGGTGGGCCCCAAATCCAATCACATGTGTCCTTGTAAAAGGGAGGCAGAGAGAGATTTTGCTCACACAGAGAAGACAATGTGAAGATGGAACTGAAAAGGATTTGAAGATACTGGCCTTGAAGATTGGAGTGATGAGCCTATAGCCAAGGAATGCCAGTAGCCACCAAGAAGCTGGATGATGCAAGGAACAGATTCTCCCCTAGAGCCCCTGGAGGGAGCGCTGCCCCGCTGACGTAGCGATTTCAGCCCAGTCATTTTGATTTCAGACTCCTGGCTTCCAGAACTGCGAAGAATAAATTTCTATTGTTTTAAGCCACTAAGTTTGTGGTAATTTGTTACAACAGCCACAGTTAACTAATATATGAAGTTTCCAAAATCTTAAGATGGATCCATTTGTATAAGGCTGAGAATGAGTCCTTCTGGGTTAGGGGAACATCTGGAATAGTGCAGGCCATTTATTAGGGAGATATTCCCTGCCAGCCACTATGCTTTACCTCCAAAGTTGATAGCCCTTTATAACCTTTTTTACATTTACGCCACCATGTATACAGGTCGTGAAGGTCAGCCAGAAAGAAGCTTCCATGGAAACTGATTTTTGGCCTCAGCCATCTTCCCAGTCACATCAGTATCACCAGAGCAAACTGACTCTTTCCCATAATGTAGTTAGAATTTCTTTCTCAGTTTCTTCCCATTTTATACCCCATGTCCTGTTTGCTTCTCATAAATGCCCAACACTTTCTGATCAGATGTCTTTGTGTCAGGAGAAAGAGCAAACTGTGTGTCTTAGACCTGTCTCATGCAGCCTCTCTACGAATATGCTTTTATGAGAAGATCATGATCTTGGCCTAAAAGAAATAGATGAGAGAACAACAAAGAAGGGTGATTGGGACTGATCAGCGCTGTTTCTAGTCTGGATTTCTGGAAGCAAAACGTGGAGCCTTACTTAG